CAGTATGTGCCTTTACACTGCTGAGAGCCTTCAGCAGTGTAAAGGCACATACTGTAAAGGGTGGTAAAGGAAAATCATCATGGCAATTATCTTATTTGTTTATGATAATTACACCAGTGTCTCAAACTAAAAGTGACCTTTTACTGCTGTTAAATGCTAAGACCTTGTAGAACAGCGAAACATGACATTTTCATGAAAGTCAATATTTTTTCTTACCTACTGGCTGGTAACCCTGCCTCGTAGGACCTCCAAATGGGTTGCGACTGCCGAAGGAGCCTCCGTCAATGGACCCGTACGACATTCTGCCTGATGGTTGGTGGCGTGTCAGCTGCAGGCGCCTGGGGAAGCAACAATAAGCAGAATCCAACTGAAAAACACAATTTATTTCCACTTTGATCTAAAAATGAATGCACTCACAGTACTGACAGTAAGTGAAGTGAACATGATTTGTGTAATGTCTTTGTTGCCTTGTGCAGATGGCAGGGAGGGCTGGTAATGGGTTTTTTCACCAGAGCTCCCATCAAGCAAAAACATACTTCTTACACAGCATGTAACTACTGTAACTATTTTACTGTGTGTAAACTCCATGGCATCACCTGTAGTTTTCTGAAAAGACACTGGAACATAAATTCAGGTGAAGCTTGAATTTCTAGCCGCCACCTTTGTGATTCACCAGAGACAGAAATTTCCAATTTGGTCAAAGGCAACCAAATATGTCGATTTTTTTTAGGAGCAGCCACCATGACTTTGATTTGCTGAAACATCTATCAACTGAGCAAACACACCCCAAAATATATTTATCTGTATGCTTCAATGACTGTAAATTTTGCCAGCCCTCTAGAGCATCCTTCCAGTGGACAGACATATCACAAAAACAGAAAAAAGCTAATACAACTGGATCGTCTTTTGTCATGTTTGTCAGTGAGACCAATTGTCCCTCTACTACCTCTCTTGGATGCCTCTATGGTAGATAAAACTTGATAAAGTGCACTCTAGAGTGTCCTTCCAGCAGACAAAACATGATATGGTTTTCCTCTACGGTGCCTTTTCAGTGGAGAAAACTTGATGTTGTGACCTATAGAGTGTCCTTCTAGAGGACACAACATGATAAAGTACCCTCTAGGGTGCAATTCCAGTAGACAAAATATCCATAGCCTTTTTTAACTGATTGTTTTGGTTTTAAAGTACTTTTTCGTTTTATTTTCATCATTGTTATCAACCCCCTGTAGACAGCTTGTTCCCTTCTTGCACAGCACCAAACAGCAGACAGACACACTTAGCAACTAGCTGGTGAATGTAGTGGAGCATTGAACAGCTAATTATTCTTTAGGAGTTGGTGGAAACTAGAGATTAAATTAGGCCAGGACACATAGTATAGGTCTACACTCTTCTGTGTAATCGGGATGCTTAACTTTGCACATCTTCAACAACAATCTATATACTTACACCTTTCTCTGTCTTAACAATTAAATCATTGTTTAAACCATGTTTTCTTCTTAGCTGTAGAGAACATAGGCCTAAATGAGGTGATGCTAGAACATCACGACTTTGACAGGGTTTTTCAAATGCACCTGTGCCTCCTCATTTTTGTATTTCAGTTAACTAAAATGTTTTTTTCACTAGTTTTTAGTTCAGTTTCTTCAAACATTTTCAAATAATATCACCTACATGTTGTAGTCTGTGTGCACACATATGTGCACCTATGGCAACCCTGAAACCACAGAGTCTCAGTGTCTGGTGGATGTGTGAGTAAGTAATTGTTTGCCAGAACATTAGCATTGAGGCTCTGCACACCTTCGGGTGTTCTCAATTATTCTGTCTGATGAGACCTCTGCTTAGGTTGAAGCCAGGTGAAACTACTCTTGGAACAACAGGATGTCACTTAACATTTACCAATAAGGATAATACATTTGTAATTTTTCCTAACAGAACTAACGGGAAAGTGAGGAAGATGTCAAACAAGCCCAGTATGTACACACCCACACTATTCTCAAAGAGGTCTAATCAGCCAAAAGAAGGGAAATCAGGTGCGTGGGTGTACCAAGGGTGTGCAGGGTCTATTATAAGCAGGGGATCTGGTGGCGGTGTATTTGTGAGCTGTTATCTTTTGCCTGCTTGTTTCTGATGGTTGAGTGAGCAAGAGAGTGTTTGCAAACACATTAACTTAACAGGGTGGCATATTGAGGCATGATAGAGACTGCATTTTTTCCAGCAGAAACCCCCACATCATTTGTCGATTCTAGTACCCGTATTGTTACTAAATAGTACATAAAATAAAAAACAGAAAACATCTATTAGAATCACTCAACAAAGACTATGCTAGTGTTAGCACTGGCATTTACTCTTTACTTTCGTAGCTCAAGTTGTCAGTTGTAGTTACTAACATTGTACTCTGAAATTGCGGTAAATGGCTCCAATGGGGCAACAAACAAGTAGTCAGACACCCAGATAGGCTGTAAACAAGTTAAGTTAAGTTAAATTTATTTGAAAGAGAAATCCAACAGTAAACAGTCAAATTATAACCTAAAATCTGTTGGGTTAGTACTATAGTATGCTATTTCCATTTTATCCTACTTTATACTTTACTCAATAAATTAAATATCAATTTTGTTACTTCACAAAAATGTGTGATAACTTAAGTTACTTTGCAAAATCTGTTTATTATTACAAATATAAATCAACTAATACATTATGATGTATTATTAAAGATTAAGCTACCCAGCAGTGTACATTTATATTTGTGTAGGTGATGTAAGCAGCTTAAAACTCGGTCCGGGTGGGCAGCCCGGTAGGTTTTAAGAGGTTTTATACATCCAGATAATTTCTATAAAATCCAGACCAGGTCTCCAATGGAGACCTGCATTTATTTGTCAAAACGTGCCACAACGGGCTAGTAAAGGAGACCTGTGTCGATTTGGGACTATTTTATTATTGTTTTACGGTATATAGTATACTATTTTTACACTGTGGTATTGACTGAGTCCTTTAAGCCTCATTATGTGTAATTAAATTCTGCAAAAGCTGGCTTTTCAACTTTATCTTAAAAACTTAAAAATTATTACTCTATTATTTATGACATTTAACCATCCAGATAGTGCTGTGGGTGGGACATTGAGCAAGACTAAAGAGTGGTGACTACAAAAGCTACATCAGAGCCAGTTTTTGAAATGATTTTATTGACTATCGGAACAATAATAAAACATTCCGATTCCGAATACCGATAATCAGAGAAATTCTGAAAATTCACTTGAAATTTTTTAAGTAGATCTAACTCAACTTTTGAAGCAGTAAGTAGAACTAACTCAACTTTTCAAACATTCTTGATCAAGTAGCTTTAGTAATTTTAAGTGATGATGACTTTATTTTGTCATTTTCGTTTGTACTGTGAAAACAAAATACCTACTAAAGAGAACTTAAGGATGTTTGTATAACTTACAAAATGAAGTTAGTTTCACTTAAAATTACTAGTAAAAGCAGCTTTATCATGCATATTTTTTAAGTTATAAAATTGAGTTTGTTATTATTTAAAATATTCGATTTAATCCATTTCTTCATAACTTATTCCATCAAGTCGTAACACACGTAACTACAAAGACTGCGTGATTAGCTCTGATTGCATTGCAGCCAAAATATGGATGACCTACACTCCCTGCTTTGCCTGAATGCATCCTGTGTAGAGACAGATGGAGGTCTGAAGCTGCTTACTCTACACCTCCTCTGTAGACACTGTGTAAGGGTTGCAGGGGCCTAAACTTTTTGGAATTTTAATGGTTTGAGCATGACTTTCTCAGAATCAGAAATTACAAATATATTAACAATAACTTTAGAGCTGTCCAACATACATTTGTGTTACTGCGAGGGCACTGTTAAATACTCTGTGTGTGTGCGGGTGTGTTTTATGGTTGGAGGCATCGAGCATCAGCAACTAAAGTAACCAGTGAATATTTTGGAGTCAGCCTCTTCAGGATGTTAACCCATAACTCACTTACATGAGGAGAGGCGAGGAGGACACATAATACTCATCTGAATCCAGCTGAAAAGGTCAGATCATCATGTGAACATGTGTTTCACCCGCGGCCAGAGACACACAGATGAAACTCTAATCAACAAATCTCTGTCGGCACACTTCAGCATCTCTATCAAAAGGTCAGAATATGATACTGGTCAAGTGGCAAATGCTCTTTCCCCACCGTGAAAGACAAGTATTCAGACAAGCAGGAGAATGCGATTACACTACAGAGTCATTGTGAAGCCCATTGTTGTGGTGAAGCCAGTGAATCCGGCCTATAGGACCGGCATTATGGGTACGAGGCGGGATGGAGAAGCGGCAGTGAGATTCGGTGTACGCATATTACAGAGAGACAGATTCACTGGGCCACGAGAACGGTTAATCCGATTAATTTTCATCGAGAAGGGAGATTAATTACTTTTGGCAGTCCATAAACAATCTTCACTATGCTTGATTTCAAGCCCAGTAACTGAACCCTGCATCCCTCTGAAGTGTGGACACGCACTGCTATCTGTCGGTGCACAAGGTGCACGTTCACGTCTGCACGCACACACATTTGGATTACCTTACCCTTGGCCACTGCACAGAATTATAAATCCCCCAGGTTGTTCACTTAGTGTTGCTCACACAAGTGAAAAGTGAGGTCATTAGTATGGTGATGAAACATTCGTCACATCACATGATGTCACCATCCTTGGTGATGTGATCTGAATCCCAAGCCTCCGTTAGAGCATCATCACCACAGATGCAATGGATGTTGAATGCACCTAAACTGCTAATTTTTACAGTTCTGTATGTGAAATATAATCTTTATAGAGGCACTCCACACTTTAACATGTTTTTTGACCTGTAAACTAAATTATATAAGTGTACAGTGCTGGTGTTAATAAAAATTCATCTAGTGAATAAAAATTGGCATTTCATGGGTTGAAAATGGCTCAACACACTATAACCCTAAAACTTGCAGGGCCAATGCTGACCTAGAGTTAACCGTTTGGGACTACTTTATGTCATGACATTTATATAAAAAAAGAGGACCAGTGTGTAGGATTTGTAGTTGTGAAGTTCCCTCGTTTCACCCTCCCTATCCAAAGCCCAAAGGAGAAACTGCAGCAGTCGCGAAACTGGTGAAAAACGTGAAAGGTCCTATCTACTTTGTCCTGGAAATCTGTGTGTGGGCTACCTTTTGTTCCTTTGGATATTCATCCAGGGTCTTCAACATTGGAGTTTATAAATGTCTTTGGCACCAGAAACAAAATACTGGGATGACGCATCCTCGCTAAGCTCTAACTACTATTGTGGTCAGTCACTTACTCAAAGTGTCAAGGC